CCATCTCAGATCAAAATAGAGTTGGATTTATTAACAAGGTTCGACTGTATTACAGTGGATGTATTAGATACAATGTCTATTCTCGTAACTCGCAGGGATATCAAGGTAGAGGGGTAACGTTTATCTTTGAGATCGAAAATACAGTCGACTTAGATAACCAAAGTCGGAGTCTGACCAAAAAACGAATGGGGAAGGCGGTCCTGATAAATATCGGGGTAAATTGTCCGGTTGGACCTTGCATGATGGTGATGATACAGTAAGGTGGGTCGTCCCCAATGAGGAGTTTTGGAGATGGATGCAACCACTCGTCTAGCTCAAGAGGATGCCGTGTTGTGCGAGCATATGGCGAACGTGTGCTTTTGCCTCGGGCGATACATTCGGATCTAAAACTCGTCAGAAAAAGCAAATTTAGCGGTTGAACTGTTACTCACTCTTTAGAGCGCTCTTGTATCCACCCAATTGTCTGGCCAAATGGGCATCCGGCGACTTGCTACTTCCCTTGCCACTCGCGCCATCCTGTAGATTCCGCTCCTTTTGCGTTCTGAGGTCGGCACCCGCTTGCTCGAGCATGGCGCGGGCGTGTGCTTTGGCCGCGTCGGATACGTTGGGGTTGGCGAGGGTGGCGCGGTATCCGCCGAGGACGCGGTTGTTGTGTTCTTGGGCGGAGGCGGAGCCGTAGGTCGGTTGGTAGAGTGCGGCCAGGGCTCGTTCTGCCTCTGCTTTTTCAGATGGACTACGGTGGGGGTCTAGCGTGAATCAGCACGCGGACGTTTACTGATAGCGTTTTGGAGGGGACTCACCGTGGAGGATGTAGCGGTAGGACTCGATGAGGCGGACGAGGTCCGTCTGGGTGTATTGAGCGAGTTGCTGGGGTACGTTCATTGTCATGCGTGTAGAAAGGGTCAGAGTAATAGTTTGAGTCGAGTGAGATACGTTGGGAGTGAAGGGGGTGGCGCTCTGAGGAGCTCTTTATATACCCTCTACGTACTCCACCCCAACATGGCATCACACAATGCCGAAGGCTTTTGCCTCCCTGTAATAATTTTTTTTTTTTTCTAATTTCTCGCGTGGCTTTGGTCGTTGGAGCCGGAAGCAGAGCCTGACGTCAGCGGCCGGCCGCCGAGCGCTCCAGCCTTTACTCCTTTCTCCTTGCCAATAATTTCATGCCAATATCGTTGGTTACGAAATGGAGTGGGGCGGACTCCTCTCCTTCGCAAACATTGGCGAATGGCTAGCTCATCGGTGCACTCAACGTGACGTGCAAATCTACGTGCCGGGGTCGTGGAGTCAGGACAAAGCAGGACGCGAAGAGATCGTGGCGAGAGCGACCATAGAGATCTGCAGAATCTTTACCCCATGAGACTGCCCGGTGTGAACCATTTCCCCACCTTCTGATGGGATCCAATAGCTGAGTGGGAGTTGATTTCCGCATCTACATTTCGACAGTGCAACGATCGGGCCAACCAACTTTGAATCCGAGTGTATACCAAGTGGGGGAGCAGCCGGCGGATCCACACCTGGAGTGAAGAATGTCGATCACTGCGCCTCTTTCGAATTGTTCGTAATAGTGCGTCCATATGGTACACTGAGTCATCTGCTCAAGTGCTCTCGTACGGCCCGTTGGGCTGGGCGGGGCGAGATGATCATGCAGGTTGGATAAGAGAGTGCAGTAGACGTTCGTTGTAGAGATATTGATAACGAACTTGATCGAGGAAATGTTAATTTGCGAGTGTCGGTCGAGAGACGATCGAAAGGGCGTGGGGCAGGCGTGGTTTCTTCGTGCTGGTCAGATAACAAGATGTGATCTCGTGTTGACGACGTGCACGGTGGTTTAATGAAAACTGAGATTTCGCCGATGAACCTCGTTAGGGGCAATGTCGCGCCGACTAAAAACAGTTCAAACTCCGACCAGCTCTCGAAATCCAACCCATACCTTTTTCAGATAATCACGTACGTGCCAGCATGGTCGCTCGCTTGGTATAGCGCTGAGGGTGACCGGCCGGCACAAGTTCGACGATTACGATGAAAAAAAAAGAGACTGGTCAACTCTTGTCAACCAGCTAACACCATCCTCGAGTTTTGTCGTTGAGCGCCCAAAGTGATGGGAAGCGAAGCTCGTCAAGAGGCGCCTTGACCACTTTTGGACCCAAGCATTGCCCTTCTTTTTTCACTCGCCCTTACTCTCCTTTTCTTCTCGCTGTGCGTACAGTTAACCATGCAGTACTGTGACTCGTGCCTGTTGGGAGCTGTATACGAGCTTGCAGCTCACCGCTTGTCCTGTCTTTCTCACTGCACCCGAGTCCGTTCCTTGACACTGAACCATCCCCCCTCCAGATCGCGCATGCATCCATCTTACAACATATATCATACATAGACATACCGGACTATCCGCTGTACAATTCCTAATACTACAACCCTTTCTATTTTTTGAAAAACGAGGACGATGGGGGTGTATGGTCGATTGAACCACCTCTTTGTTCACCACCACCGCGCCATTGTCAATGGTCTCCGCTTCTTTTGGATTCTTTGTCTATTCTGGCTCGAAGTAGGCGTGTTTCGATGGACCGTGAGCAGTTGTCGATGGCCAGACGACAAATGGACACAAGTACGTCACAAATCAATCCTCTCAATACTCGCCCGTCAACACACCCCTTACTATTTATCTAGAATTATAGATATGGCCCAAAAGGCGGGGCGGAGCCAGCGCATCTCCTGGTGCTAGGGGACACCCAAGTACTCGACAGTGCCCATTCTTTACCCTCCACTCCTCTCTTTTTGCGACCGATAGTGAGGTCTGTCGTCAATTACAATATGCAAAAGAGTTGGAGTGCGGTCAAGGCCCGTCTCGCTCCACAGGCTGTCGTGTTCCTGGGCGATATGATCAACGGGGGACGATACGCCACCAACGGCCATCAGTATGTTTCACTCTAGTACTCGAACAAATATTGATCGGAATAATATAGATATCAAGCATTTGTTGAACAATTTTATTCAATATTTAGCATCTCTGATGGGACGCCTGTGTATTACGTCGTTGGCAACCACGATGTCGGACTGGGCCATTCGACCACTTTTTCTCGACGCGCCCGTGGACGGTTCACTTCTTCTTTCAACACTATCAACGATCAGACGAACCAAGTTGTGACTTTTGGTAACCACTCATTGGTATTGGTCGACGCGCCCTGGCTTGCCGAAGAAGACTATCGGCGCGTGGCCGAGCACAAAACCTTTCCCTCCCCTTATGCAAGCGCTGATCAAGGAAAGGAACAGGGAAGTGGGAATAGGAGAAAGGGAGGCGTATGGAGACCGTCACCTGGTGGCACCGTC